AGTAAACAGGGTTTGAAAGAGGAGGGACGAAAGAAGAAAGAAAGGATGTCTTTGATTTTGTTGGGATTCTTGTTCCAGAACTCATGGACTGAATCAAAAGTCCTTTGAAATCTTGGAATCCTCTGAGCTGACGTTATCTATATTGAGTCAGGGAATAATGTCCTCATTTACCCAAAGGTTCTGAACTCTTCCTGTTCATTGTTTCCCTGTCCCAATGGTTCTTTCATGCCTATGTGCTCTATACCTGCAGCTGATTTCTTTATTGATGCTGTTTGTGAGTGCTGCACTTTGCCAGCTTCTGGCAGAAAAATCTAGGGTTAACTAACTCTTCTAGGAATTGCTTAATCCCTTATCCCAAGAGAATTTAACAGTTGACTGTTTTTTCTGCTCTGGGAAGGACATCCTGCAGCCTTTGTCGGTGATGTTGGATGCTGTGTAGAGGTACAGAATAATTTCATACTAAGAGCATAACTACTTCAAGCAGAATTCAGAAGCTGGATATGGGCAGGACCCCCAGTTCATTATATCAGAACTGCAAAAGGGTCCATCCCTCTCAGGCAAGACAGCTACTCTGCTGAACGTCAGAGTAGGGGACAGAAGCTGGCAAGAATGTACCTATATTAGTATCTAACAGTCAGAAGCAAAACAGTTGAAATTATATGATTTTCTACACAGAAACATCTATTGCTGTTTAGATTTGAAACCGGAGAACTATTTGAAATCTTAGAATTTGCCAGAAAGCAGAAGCATGGCACCAGTCTGTCTAGAAACTTATTCATAAACACTGCTGCAAGCTCAGTGCAGTTTAGGTTAGAGGAATATAAAACAGTCTGTGTTCAGTCAGCTGGGCTCTGGACATACACATATAGAAGTTGGCTTAAATATATTTTCAAAACAGTCACAAGAAAAGTTGTACACTGATGATGAAAGCAGCGTGCATATCAAATTTTAAGTTAAATCAGTGTAATTTAATACACAAACCCATCTCTGTAGAAAAAAAATATAATAAGGGACAATTACGATGGTCTTTGTCTCTTAGTACCTAATGTTTTTGGGTATAGAGGGGAGAAAAGAGGACTGTCTTCTATGCACTGATTTTACAGGCAAGAAATAGACCCTGAAATTGTTTAATCATCTTCCTTTCTTTCTTCCCTTTTTCTGGAGAGTACTTGTGCTACCTGTGACAGCTAGTGGTGGTTCACAGAAAGACATCAGGGTGACAGTAGCACCCGAGCAGGCTCCCAGTGCTGTCCAAACAGCAAGACCCTTAGCTAAAGGAGAAAAAAAGCCTTCCAACCTGGCAGTAGGATTAATGTTTATCCCTTAATCCTAAAGCAGGCTTGAGGCAATTAGAGATGAGATTCTCACACACTTCTCAAAAGATACTGCTGCCTTTATTATCTATACACCCTACTCATCTGTGATTCAGTGACCTAAAGAAAATGGCCTGGATGTGTTTGTGAAAATTAGCATAAGCAAAAAATTTACATCTTTTCTTTTGGTGCAGATAATGAAATATATCCACTGACCACATCCCAAACACCTAAATGACTGATACTCTTGGTCACAGGACTTCATCTTCATGGAATTATTTCAAGCAATCTCTGCTTGTGGCAGGCACACAGTTTCTCTGGCTGACTGAGGAATTGGGAAATTCCTCATCTAGGAAAAACCTCCTTAGGAGGATATCGTGGTTGCTGCAATAAGTTACTGAAAAGATTTTTCAAACTCTAAATCTTCTGATGATATTATCTTAAATTGGTGTTCTCTGGAGTCTACCCAGATTGCCAGTGCTTCTGCTGCTTGGTTCCCCCAAACCTATGGCTGACAGTTAAAAAGCAATTAGGCCAGTTGCTCGTCTTCATCAGCGTGCGGGGTCCGTGTCTGTTCACTTCCACTGGCGTCTGCTGATTCATGTTTGACCCAGGGTTGTGTGGCGGAAGGAGGGGACACTGCTGAGGGAGGACAGCACGCTGCTGAATGCTGCACAAAACCACTTCTCTCTTAAAAAGGAAGCAAATACTCTTGGCCATCAGCAAGGACAAAAACAGGTTGTGTAACCCCTTCTTTATTTATGTGGACTCCAGTGCATTTTTCATAGGGGTGTGGGGATGGCGAGTGCTTCCTGACTCTCTGTGGGAGAGTTGTCACTCTGATTTCTTTCCTGGCTTGCACACATTGAAAAGGAGACAGTACTAGTCCTCCTCTCCAGCCATGCTTCAGGCCCTCCTTACTGACGGCCTCTGTGGATGTCCTAAAGTGCACACAGCCACTACTACACCATCCCCTCCCAGGTACTGCCAGTCCCCTCCTTTGTTTGCTGTGCTAGTGAAGGTCTCTAGGTGATTTAAAACCACGTTAAGAAAACTGAGTTTTAAGAAAAGTTAGTACAATAGTGTAGTTCCAGATGACTCAAAGCATTTGCATCGGCCTTCCCTGATCCAGACACACACTTCCCAAGGAGGCTGAGACCAGAGCCAGAGTGTTTGCATTCCGTAGGCACTCACTTGCTGCATCTAGATCTAGGTAGAATATATCCCTGCAGTGTAAAAGTTCTTTCCATTGCTCAGAAACATACCATGCTTAGGACTTTCCATCCCAAAAAGCATTTGCTGCATTTTTCCTCCCTCTCCCACTTTTCTCCTTCCCTTTACCACTTAACTTGCCCCTTCTGACATCAACAAGGAAGGAAACAAAAATCTCACATGCTGAGCTCTGGTTCTCTGAACTTCATTGCTCCAGTTTTCAACAGTGAATGAAGCATTTACGCATCCCCTCCTCTCCATGCCCATGCACAGCCACGTAACTGAACGGGATGGTTGTCATCTTGTGGGAAAAATATTCTTCCCAAAAGGGTTTAGGTGCTAATGTACAACAGTAAGGGTTGTATAAAATGCTACAGGGAGGGATTCTGTTAAATTAAAAATCTTTGCTGTCCTCGTGAGAGCAGTAAGAGGCATTACTTACTGCCAGCATCCTCCTCCTGCTTATGGAGGGCTGAGATTCAAGGGAAAAGGTAGTAATTTATGCAGAAAAAATTGAGAGAGCAAAGAGTTTACAAATGAAATCTGCCTTGTCACCAACTTGGAGCAGAGGTGGATTGTAACAACTGTTAAGAGATTGTTAGAGACTTCTTCAACTTTCAAGAACATGGAAAATCAGATAAGTGCAAAAGCAAAGGTGGCTAAAAGTATTTCAACGTTTTCTTTTTTCTAATAGTAAAATAAAATACATTTCTAAATCTAAAACCAATGTTTTCCAATTCTTCCACTCTAAACATTTTGAGCTTTCTTTTGTGGTAAGTTGATACACATGTATTAAATATGATTTCCAAAGTACTTCCTATTTGTCACTGCTTTTGGCGATTCTGTGATTTTTGCCCAAACTTTAAAAACCAGCCATAACATTTGGGCAAATAAAAGGAATGGAACTGTAAACATCTGAAAGAGAAATGTAATTTAAAACTGTTTGTGCTAAACATCTTCTATTATGGTGTCAATAAGAACATTGTAATAATAAGAAATAATAAAAGGGAGATGTGGTGTTTTGTTTTCATGGTTCAAGCAAAGAGAAAAGTAAAAAGTAAATAAGATCTTGAATGACTTCCTGTATGTTTAGCTGTGTCTCTTTTAATAGTCAGAAAGACAAGTATTATATAGTTTACTGTTTATAATGTCCCCTTTTAACAGTGCATGCTAGGTCAAAAAAAAGAGGGTAGAAAACAAACTAGTACTGGGAATTATTCCCCATAGATGCAGTTATAATCTCTTAAGAGAATTTTTACTTTCAAGAGTCAGGTCTTGTCCCAAAACCATGAAATTGTCTTAAAAATGACAAGATTAGTATTTGAAATTGCAGGGTATTTGTGTCTCGCACTTGGTGTTTGAGCCTCTAGGATGGAGATTTACCCTCACCCGAGGAGTCACAGTTGTTACAAGTTTTTAGTATAATCAGATGACTTTGGGAACGTCACCCAAAATGTTAGGTACTGTGAGATTGTGCCAGTTATATGAGAGTTGATGGGACTGTAATATCTTTGTACTTCCTATTTAGAAGAAAGTCCCTAAAAAATGGCTAGCTCTTTCACTCGGGGTTTGCAGTGGGAATCAGGGTGGTTTCTACCCACAGACTTTTTAATTTCCTAGAAATCACTTTGTATGATGGCAACAAGCATAAGATGGTTTTAGTTCAAGTGCAATATTCCGCACAGGATTTTCTACTTGTGCTTTAAACAAGCAGTGCACTCAAATCATAGCACTAATTAGCAGGGTTTACCTCTGGCTCAAAGCCCAACTTTTTCCCTCTCTGAAGCAGATTCACTTTGCAGCCATTGGATGGCCTTCGGGGCTTTGGTTCCTTGAGGATTTACACTTAGCAATTTTTAAGCAAATTGACGGAGGTCACAAAAATTCTTCCATAGGGTTATCATTTCATTTCAATAAATGCAGAGGCAGATGGTTACAATCTTAGTTAGAAGTTTTTTTAAAAAAAACCTGCAGTACACAACCACTTTAGGGCTAATAATTTCCTCTGTACTTGACCATGCTCACTAAAAAAAAAACTTTCGTTGCTTTGAAGAGGTTTTTGTCTCAGATAAAGAGAGAGAGAGACAGGCAGACAGTGGCATAATGCAAGGAAAATCCAGAACTGTTTTCCAACCCCTTCAAGAACAATTTCACATTGTGGGGTTAATCTGGGGGCTCAAGGAGCCCCAAAAGTGGTCCCACTTCTGAAAACTCATGGCCGTTCAGCACTTCTGCATGACAGCAATCTGGATGCCAACCAGCAAGATCTCCCTCACAAGGAGAGTGCTCAGGGAGAGAGCAGCCTTTGCCTGGTCTCTTGGGATGACTCCACTTCGGTAATCCAAACCATTTAAACCTGTTTGGATACCTGATTAAGGAATTAAGCTGATACACCAGCATTGTCAGTTTCGTGACACAAATTAAATAGCCAAGCCAAGATGTTCATATACCTAGTAGGATTTTGGTGCTGCCTGTGAATCATAGAATCGTCTAGGTTGGAAGAGACCCTTGGGATCATCGAGTCCAACCATCTACCCTACTCTACAAAGTCCTCCCCTATACCATGTCCCTTAGTACTGTAAGAAGGGTTACTTTTCAGGTCATAAGAGGTTCTCGTGTCTCTTTGGGACCCATCTTCTGACCAGGCAGCTTGTCAGACAACGCCTGTTGGACTTCAGAGAAAGGATAGATCCCACATCACTAGTCATTTTTAGTGTGCCATCAGTCTTCTGTTCTACAACTGTTAAAATCGCTCTCTACAACGTACTGCCTAGATAGCCAGCTACAGAATGAATGCTTACTGTTTTCACTTTTTTCACATAGATTCATGATGTTACGCCAACAGCTAGTACTTATCTTTGGGATATCACTAGCTACTGACACGTGTGCCTCTAGAAGCTGTTATTCAGAAGCCCAAGTCTCCTGGTATTTTAACTGCAACCTCACAGCTGTTCCACTTGTGCCGAAGGATACGGTGAAGCTTTTTCTGACTTACAACTACATCAGCCGAGTGACGGTGACTTCCTTCCCGCTGCTGGAGCACCTGCTGCTGTTGGAAATCGGAACGCAGTATGTCTATCCTGTGACCATAGGGAAAGGAGCCTTCAGGAACCTGCCAAACCTCCGCGTCTTAGACTTGGGGAACATAACGATTCTCCACCTGGATCTCGATGCTTTTGTGGGCTTGCCAAGTCTGAATGTGCTCCGTCTGTTTGGTAATGACCTTGGAGATTCCATCCTGGAGGAACGTTACTTTCAAGAGCTGATCTCACTAGAGGAATTACATCTTTCATCGAACAAAATCACAAGACTTCAGCCTCATCCCTTATTTTATAATCTAACAGTCCTGAAAAATGTGAACCTGACATTCAACAAGATATCCAACCTGTGTGAAAGCAATCTTACCAGCTTCCAAGGAAAACACTTTGTATTTTTTAGCCTCCGTTCAAATTATTTGCACAAGACAGATGAGAAGGCCTGGGCCAAATGCCCAAATCCTTTCAGAAATATTACGTTCCAGTCACTAGACATCGGTGACAATGGCTGGAGCACAGAGAAAGTTAAATATTTCTGTATTGCCATTAAAGGGACTCAAATCAGTTCTTTAACATTTGGCGCTCACATAATGGGTTCAGGATATGGCTTTCATAACTTAAAAAATCCAGATATTGATACGTTTGCTGGACTAGCGAGAAGTTATCTTAATTCGCTTGATATTTCACATGGTTATATTTTTTCTCTCCATTCTTTAATCTTTCAAAGCCTTGGTAATCTGGGCTTGCTGAACCTTTTCAAAAACAAGATAAATCAAATCGAAAGGCAAGCATTTTTTGGCTTGAGAAACCTAAAAGTTCTCAATCTCTCAAGTAATCTTTTAGGCGAGTTGTACGACTATACTTTTGAGGGTCTGCCTAGCGTAATGTATATTGATTTACACCAAAATCACATCGGGATGATTGCTGAAAAATCATTCAGTAACTTAGTAAATCTGAAAATAATTGACCTCCGAGACAATGCCATTAAAAGACTCCCTTCCCTTCCCTCCCTCCTGGCCTCTGCCTCCTTAAGTGACAACAAGCTAATGTCTGTAGTTGGCACAAAAATAGCAGCAACGCACATTGATTTAGAAAGAAACTGGTTGGCAAACCTGGGGGACCTGTATATTCTTTTCCAAGTTCCAGACCTGCAGTATATCTTCTTAAAACAGAACCGCTTCTCGTACTGTGTGAAAAGTCATGATGTTATAGAAAACAATCAGTTAATCTTTATGGATCTAGGTGAAAACATGTTACAGCTTGTGTGGGAGAGAGATTTATGTTTGGATGTGTTCAGGTCACTGTCCAAACTTCAGGTCCTACATCTGAATAACAACTACCTTCGTTCTCTTCCACAGGAGATCTTTAGAGGTCTAACATCTCTAAAAGGGCTTAATCTAGCTTCCAACCTCTTGTCTCATCTTTCTCCCGGGCTTTTTCCACAAAGCCTAACCAACCTAAACTTATCCAGAAACCAGCTATTTTCCCCAGAGCCGGAAGTCTTTATGACTTTGAGAATTCTGGATATAACACATAATAAGTATATCTGTGATTGTGCTTTAAAGAGCCTGCTGGTGTGGCTGAATCACACCAACATAACCCTGGCTGGCTCGCAGTGGGACACGTACTGTGTGTACCCACCTGAGTTTGCAGGTTTGCCACTCTCCTCTCTGATCTACGATGGCTGCGAGGAAGATGAACTCCTGGAGGAGCTCAGTTTCTCAGTGTTTGTCTTCACCTCCGTCACCCTCCTGGTGTTTCTGACGGCAGTCATCGTTTTTACTCGGTGCCGGGGGATTTGTTTTGTCTGGTATAAAACAATCACCAAAAAAATTATAGGCAGCCATCCACAAGTAGCAGATCAAAGCGAATACAAATACGATGCGTATTTCTGCTACAGCAAAAATGACTTTGAATGGGTCCAGAACTCTTTGCTAAAGCACCTGGATTCACAGTATTTTAAGAAAAACAGATTTACCTTGTGCTTTGAGGAAAGAGATTTCTTGCCTGGGGAAGAACACATCAGCAATATCCGTGATGCCATTTGGAACAGCAGAAAGACGGTTTGCATAGTGACCAGGCAGTTTCTCAAAGATGGGTGGTGTGTAGAAGCCTTTAATTTTGCCCAGAGCAGGTACTTTTGTGATCTGAAAGATGTCCTCATTATGGTAGTGGTCGGGTCACTTTCTCAATATCAACTGATGAAGCACAAACCGATTCGAAACTTTTTACAAAGAAGCCGGTATTTGCGGTGGCCTGAAGATTATCAAGATGTAGACTGGTTTTTAAATAACCTTTCTTGCCAAATTCTGAAGGAAAAAAAAGTGGCAAAGAAAGCCAGTGGTATCGAGCTGCAGACAGTAGCAACAGTCTCACATGGATAGCGTTTGGGTTGCTGGCTTTCTCAACTCCCCTTTTCCAGCCATGCCAAGAATAAACAGGAGTTTGCTTTATCTTTCCTCGAAAAAGCAGGGAAAAAATAACTATTTCCATATGGAAACAGCTTGACAGCGACCAGCAGATATATGAAAGTGCAATTATTTTGTGGACTATGACACACCTTTTCAGATGAATTAAACGAATCACAGGTGCTTCACATTTTGGCTGCTCAGCTTCAGACACTTTAGCCTTGATTTTGGGAGTACTACTTACTTCCTTACAGTTCTGTTTCAGTTGGGTTTTTTTTTTTAAGAAGAGCCCATGGTACTGTGCAGGAGCGACCAAGGATGCTTCATGTATGGCCCAGCCTGTCCACCCGCTCGTGGGTTACTTACTCCTGCGCTTTCTGAACTTTTCATGCTCTGCTTCAAAGTGGCATCAGTACTTCACACCTTTCTGCTTTCAACTGGTGTAACGCAGATTTCATTTATTTGTTTTCCACTCAATTAGCCTCAGCCTTTCAGCTGGAATGTACAAACTTTGAACTCCATTCACCCCCTTCCCCTCCACTGCTTCTCTGCTCGGTGATAAAACCACGGTGGTGGGTCTGCTTCATTTGCTGCCGGGTGATTTTTCCAATGGAGCTGCTTCCTGCCCTGCAGAGAGGAGCAGGTTTCCCCCTTCCCTCACTCCTCCTGAAGTGAGCCTGGGCTGCAAAAGCAAACAAGAAACTACCTCAGCAGCCCTGTGGCCTGTAGCTGGTGACATGGCCACTAGCCCAGTGACTGCTGGCCATTCTGGGAGAGGAAAATATAGGCAACTGGTGTGTAATTTGGGTTGTTCTCTGTACATCCTGTGTCCTGATCAATTCTAAGGTGGTTTTTTTTTTTTTGCTTCTGTTGAAACATTTTCATAGAATCATTAATGCCTGGTACTCTGTTACCTCTCTAATCGTTTTACCACTGTTTGTTTAGGTGTGTGTCATCAGGGGGTTGTTCAGGGTCATTTTAACAAAACTCAGACTCGGTGTTCCTAGAACATGCACCTATTATTTCCATGGTGACACACTCCTTGAGTGTACTGTTCACTTCAGTTCATACATTTCTTCAACAAAAGCCTACCAATGTAATTTCAGTCAGCATTTTGCTCTAGTGAGGAAGCAGGAATGGGAGGTTTTGTGAGCTCTCTGTCTTGACCTTAGCTGCAAACAAATAATAGCGTCTTAGCTACTTTGATGGAGATGAAAAAGCATGATCCACTTCATGTGAATACAATCGTTTGAATATAGCTGTGCCTGTGGCTGATCTAATTTACTCTCAGTGCACCAGTACACAGGATTTCTATTGATAAAATTACTACAGTAAAATACTGCTTTTTTCTCAATTCAGGACCAGAAAAGAGCTAAACATTGGAAAATTTTCCGAGCGGGCTGGAAAAGGGATGGCCTGTGCTGTTGAAGCCCTGGGTGTCGCTGTTGGCTCAGAGATCAGCCAGGGCTTCCCAAACTCCTCCTGCCTCCCTGCGCTGCAATTGCTGCCATGAGGGAAAAAACGCTGCTGCAGAGGCAGGTCTGGAAAAGAACCAGCAACTCTGGCTTCTCAGAGCCCCCGTGGGCTCTCAGAAAAGCCACCTCCTGCATTTCAGCTCTCTGATAATCTCCAACCTTTTTCCTTTTTTATTCCCCCAACCAGTGCAAGTATTTGTAGGCATCCTCTAAAGTCAGAGGTTATACCAGGGAGTATTCCACATAAAAACCGCTGACAGACAGCCAAAGTGGGAAGGAAATCTGTATGATGAAGGTACAGGTCTAGGCTATTCAGCCTGTGGATCTGTACATGGTGTAAGAGATGGCAATTTTAAAAACATACTTAAATTATAGTCGAATGAGTGTCACAAAACATTTTTTGGTCAAGTGTAACTGAGAGCTCTCTCCAGTTAGGACCTTATTGTATATTAGAAACCACTCCTGTCACTTCAGGTGACTTCTGCCAACCCTTATATGCAGGAATGACACACAGATACAGAGATGACCAAGATGGAAAAGCCTTGGTTAAAGCCATTTTGTTTGAAATGCTTCTGCCTACTTCGTGCTTATGCCACAGGCTACATAAAACTCCCATTTACTTCAGTCTTTGGAAAGGTCTGACGTTTTACATAAAGGTTCTAATAAAACCTTTGGATGAAATTTCCTTGTCTGCCTCCTTGCTTACATACCATTTTGGAAACTTAAAGAGATCAAGCCTGTGTCGGGAGCAGCTGGGAAAACTTCTTTCTACCTCAGAGGCAGCTCAGAAACAGAAGTAACCCAGCCCTCATCTGTCCCTTGCCAATTCTATGGCAAGGAACTGAACCATTCCTGACGGTGGAGTGGCTCGCAGGCATATGGATAACTGCAGTGTCAAATTTTAGAGAGATCCAACATAACTTTCTTTTTTACTCACTGTGAAACCACTCCAAGCCTGAGGCTTTGCACAACAAACGCAGTTGGTCCAGTCTATCCTATACGGTGAAAAATGGACTTCAAATAGGTCATAGGACCCTGATCACCACCTCTGCAGAGTCACCTCTTCCTAAATGGCAAAGCCTGGAGAATTGTCCAGAACCACAAAAGCATCCTGTACAGAAACGGAGGATGACTATGCCTGATGAATTAAGGCCATCAATTGTGCCTCAACCTCATAATTATTGATCAGATTCCCTTCAGGCTCGCTGGGAACATTACTGCTCTATTAGAATTTTATGGCTCTTTAGTTAAGGATACTCTCATCGGTTTTACTCACCCTCCTCAGTGAAAAACATTAACTCGTTGGAGAGCTTCCAGAACAGGGTGTGAAGTGTGACAGTGGCTCTAAAGAGAGCTATTAAGACGGAAGCTGGTGAATTTATTTGCAGTGGCAGCACAGGGAATATTCATAGGACAGTGACTCAGTGCCACATGGTATCAGCTCAGGTATTTAATGTAAAAGCCTACCCCTACCATTGCAATATATATTCCATATGTTAACTGGTCAAGTAGGCAGCGTGGTTCAGCAGCAAGAGCCTCTCAGAGGCCAAAGGGGGCATGGACTCCTACACGAAATCAAGGCTCTGGGGACCAGAACCCCAGTTCTACAAACATACTCCTGTGGAGGGGAACAGCAGCCAATGATGTGCCCACATTTTATGTCACATTTTACATGATTGCTATTTCACACCCAGTGAAATCAGGCTTCTCCTCCCTGCCCCACCTGACATGCCTACCTGTCCCACGCAGCAAAGTGTTATCCTATTATATTTCCAAATCCCAATTGCTAACCCCTCCTCAGAGGGACCACTCACCGTGTTGGTAGCTCTGTCACCTTGGTAGTTTTCGGTCAGTGTCCATCATTGCTGTCTTTGCTGACTTCTGGGTCCTTTTCAGCACGACAGCTCTCCTGCTTCTCACTGCCAGGGACCGTCTGGGTTTCGGATTATTGCATCCCACCTTCTCCGTTTCATGTGGTGCCCATTATTTTACAGTGGCTTTAACGTGTTCTCTTCTTGCTGGAACTGTGGGGAACAGATTTAGATTGGAGATTAGAAGGGGGTTCTTTACTGTGAGGGTAGTGGAGCACTGGAACAGGTTGCCCAGGGAGGTGGTTGAGGCCCCATCCCTGGAGATATTCAAGGAGAGGCTCGACGAGGCCCTGGGCAACCTGGTCTAGTTGGGGGTGTCCCTGCTGACTGCGGGGAGGTCGGACTAGATGACCCTTGGAGGTCCCTTCCGGCCTGGGAAATTCTATGATTCTATGATTCTATTCTATGAATAGCAGCAGCCACAGTTAAATCACAAAGCAAGGCTCATTCATACCTGGCAAAATACTTAGGGATGAAGAGCAATGCACAGCTGAGCAGCAGGAGCCAGCGGTGGAGACACTGCAAATGGAACAGAAGCAGCGAATCTCTGGGAAAGCAGCAAATCTCTGGGAAATCAGCAAATATTTGCAAGGTTTCTTTGCACTGTACGGTACTGCCAACAGCAACCACATGCAGTTCTGTAAAGTAAGGCTTCCAAAATCAGAAGACTAGTGTAAAAAACGCAGAAGATAAGAAAATAATTATAAATGTCTGGTATTTGACTCTCTAAGACCACATTTTTACACTTTCTCCATGATTGTAAGAAGGTGGATATTCATGCAGTCCATGAATACAAGAGCCAGGGCTTTAAAAGATAATCCAAGTATTTCAGGACTTCTGCTTCACTGTGAAGTACATCTAAATCAGTCATGCCTTGAGTAAGGAAGAGCTTTAGGAAGGTGGTGAAGAAAAGCTGTGATCTTACATCACAGATATTTCTTTCATCCTTGCAAGATTTTTTTAGTTGTTGCTGCTAAATAGGATCAGCAAAACTACAGTAATGACAGAACCTGAAGGAGAAGCAACAACGTGAAGACTTCCCACACAGACAGTAGTCCCTATGAGGCCTCTTCTGGTGGTTATTCCGTGAGGCCGCTTGTCAGTCTCTGAGAAAGTATCAAACACCTTTGGGATGTCAAACACCTCGTTCTGCTCTTGGGTATAAGCAATTTTAAATACTTAGTTTTCAGTTACCTTTCTTTCTGTGTTGTCTCTCACAGAGGTGAGCTGAGCATCTTGGTCTTCAAGCCTCACGGTGCTGCTTCTGGCAGCCACCAAAGATTCCATGTACCTGGACCAGAACTGCAGGTGCTGCTCCACCAGTATTTCTTCCAACTGAACAAAAGCCAAATAAGCAAAGTTTAGAGGCTGAGGTTTACCCAGAAGGTCAGGGTGGGCACTGACTAGAACCAGAGAGAACGCTGGATGCCAGGCAGGTACCAGAAATGTTAAATCTGGCTTTGTTAGTTGGCCTTCCATCACATCTAGACGTTATCGTTGGGTCAACCCAACTCCCGCACGATGCCTTCTTGCTGTTTGTACAGACTGACAGGAGGCTTCTCTTCCCTTCCTGACCTTACCTTTGCTTTCTGTCTTGTGCACATACAGTGTGCCAAAAATAAGTCTACATTTCCTTTCCCAATATGCTAAAGTCAGTATATAGGTATGACATGAGTTATTTCATAGCGCAAAGACTATCTATTCATAGCAGACTCTGTTTGTTTCAGACATGTGGTTTTCCTTCCTCTTAGATAGCCTATTGTTTGTCTTTTCCATTTGTATTAAAAATAAAATCTTTGAAAACTGCAAGTAAGAGAGAAAAATATATTTCTTCTGAAACTAACAATTCTCCAAACAGGAAGGTTAGCTTTTTCCTGTTTAGACATTATGTTCAAAGAAAGGAAGTCGGGATTTTCAATGATAATAATAATTACATGGTATGTAAACATCAGTAAGTATCAAAGGAGGCTTCACTTTATTTACTGTGTCCCAAATGGTACACTGCTGTTTAGAGTACCTTGGTCTCTCCCAGTTGGCCAGCCTCTTGCAGAGATGGATCTATGAGCAGTCATTGCACTGGGCTGCTCACCTGCATGCAAGCTCCCACAGCATCATCGGGCTGCCTCAAGCCTGCATGGAGAGGAGTGGAGCAAATAGAGAACCCTCATACAAAGCAACAGTTTGATGTGGCAGGGTTGGGGTTTTTTTTGGCATCGGGATTATACATACCAGGCTGTGTAACCTTTCCACGTTGCCGCTCAAAGCTACGTACTTCAAGCCACAAAGTCTGCTGATGCTGTTCCTAGAAATCGAATCGGCAACGTAATTTCAGCATTGTGATCAGATGCAGTATCAAAACGTAGATATTTGGTACATGTGGTTCCTTGTAATAGTGAAACTGGGAGTGCTTTATAAAGATAAGAGCATTTTATTATCTTCCCTTTAAAGACGGAGGAATTGAGGCAGAGAGAATGAAGTTACGTACCTTTTGTCACCGCTGTCTGGGAAGAGAACTCAGGTTTGACAAAAGATAAGCTATTGGGATTGTTTGCTCTGTTTTGTAGGAGTTTTACAACATGCATTTTTATTACTTTAGAAACTTAAGTCTTCTATTTGTCTATAGAACCAATTAACAGTGTAAGGCCTCGCCTTTAATGTGCCACCAGTTTGCCTGTGTGGGGCAGAACTGGTTTTACAGGGAGGAGAAAAGGCAGCTGGAGGTTCCTTGGCAGTTGCCAACTTGAGTGGCAGTGATTTTGGGATGATCTGAGCCTGTTCAGGATAGGAGCAAGAATTCACCGGGCACTTCACTGGGAGTTGCTAACACTTTTCAGGTAGCCATGTGGGCTGGTACTTCTGACGAGGGCTTGCAAATTAAGAGCAACAGGAAAAGCAGTGGAGGACATACATACAGCTTAGTCCAGGTGAAGATGCACCTGTGGGAATGGCAGCAACCAGTAGGGAGAATAGGGAGAAGGTTTTTAAACACATGAATTCTCTTCTGAGAACTCTTAAGATATGAAAATTTCATCAGTGATCAGGAAAATGTTTGGAATGAGCCATTTGGATACATTGCTTCAAAGTAACAAAGCCTAAAAATTTAATGTGAATAAGGAAAAAAAAAAAAAAAAGTGAGGCAATTAATGGTAGGAAGTACAAGAAATGAATGAACGTATCCCAACTATAACCTCCTTTTTCCAAAGATCTGACAGTCCAGAATTTACTCCCACAATGGCTCATTAGAGAGGAAAATCCCAGGCCTGTGAACCCAGCTTTCCCTTTGGATGGTGAGCAATGCCAGGGCGAGTCACTGTGTTGTAGGAGCGTCAGCCCTCCCCACATAAACATTCCACACTCCTGGAAAGCAGGTCTTGAATTTCTCACTCTTTTCCCGGAGAGAAGAGCCTTCAAGCTGCGAAGTGACCGCGTTCCAACTGCTCCTGGGGGCACCTTGCAATTCTCAGTGTCAGCTTCTTGAAATTCAAACTTTAACTGCTTTGTCTTTTTTTTGTAACCTCCCCAGCTCCACGTTGTCAAACATCCCTCGACTGTCTTTCGTTGCAAAAGGGTTTGTGGCCACCCAGGAAAGGACCGTGCTGTGCTGGAAAGCAAGGCCTGACAACCCTATGTTGCGTGGCAGGAACCCGTGTGTGATTAAATACAATTCAGGGAAGATCCACAAACCATTTATGGTACGTCTGCTACACGCACAACCCAGATTGCTGAGAAAACTCACAGATTAATCACAGCCCTTCCTCTCAGTCCATCTCTGA